TTAACCTGCAACGAGATAACCTTGAGGGCCTTGGTGAGCCCTTGGCAGTAGGTTAATAAGGAATCATGGAGATGAGTCAGGTGTTGAGGGGGAGGGGTACAGTGGGTCAGGAGTGAGAGGCAGTAGCAGGGCTTGGGGGGTCTTAGGAGTGAGAGGCAAAGGCAGGGCATGGACATATCGCTGCCCCCCCCGTTATGTACCCCTTCCCCCTCTCTTCCCCCCACAGCTGTCCTCTTTTTTGATACGGGAAGTACGGTAATACTAATCATGATGCAGTTCTTAAATTCTCCTAAAATATTCCATTAAGAGAACTTTTAGAAGGACTCACCAGTCTGAAATAGGTACCTAAATTTGGGCATCCCACTGATGACCTATATAGCATGCACACATGCAAATTAAAAAGATTCATTACTACGCATTATTTTAATGTATGTGCATCTACAAATTGATTTCTCTTTGTTCAAATTAGACAATAAGATGAAAGGATAATATTAAAAATGTGACCTATCAAGGCTTCAGAAAACAAGAAAGCCAAGAATAATGTTCTAATGGCTTTAAAATAATCATCAACATTACATTTGAATCTTTCTATTTCACTTTGGCCTTAGCATTTAGTCACTGAAAAAAGATACTTTTTTTGTATTTTACCATAAAGCTTATCCCTCACAGAAACCATGGCTTGTCAAAGAGTACTACATTTCAGCTTCCTACATTTGAATCCTAACACAGACATCAAAAATATCACATAAGTAAGAAAGACTGTCTGTCTTGGTTGACAAGAGTCTCAGAGGTGATGAAGTGCCCTGGTAATAAAGAGCAACATTAGAGACTATGACAGTACCTATCTGCCCCCAAACACTTAGGCTGGCACTAAATTAACTCACTGTTCCTTTTAGGATGTGTATCAGATCTGAATAACTCAGAATTGCCTCAGTGCTGAACATTTTGCTCTCTTTTATAAAAATTCAATCCAGTTTAGTGGTAACGTATATGCAGCTATTAATTATCAGTGATATGATATGAGAACAATTTTATTATGAAAATGTGTGATGAGTTATCTTTTATTTATAGATAATGTTATTTCATACATGACAAAATGATTTTTCTTGTTTATACCCTTTCCATTTTCTCATAGCTTGCAGAATGCAAGGAATGAAGGAAATTGTTTTGTTCTATGTGGCTTGAAATTTTGTGAGGAATAGGCATGCATGGAAGGATCCAGGATTTCCTAAAGTGGGATGTGAGAGATGAGGCAAGGCATGGCTAGAGCCCCTGTGCTGGTGGGGGGCACCAGGGTGTTGGGCAGGGACCAGGTGCACAAAAAACCTGCCTGCCATCCCTGGCTGATTCAGGGGCAGAGGGAGCCCTGAAGCTGCTCCTGCCTGTCTCCTTCTAGATGCTTGGAAATGGCTTTACAGGGTGCCAGGATTGGCTGGGGACAGCAGCAGTGGTAAACAGGATCCTTTTTCCAGCACTTGCTCCCTGCTGTTTCCCACCAACTCCCTCCTACCCATTCTTCACTGGCCAAGAGCAGGCAGTGGAAGAAGGAATTGGTGTGCCACTGCCACTGTCCCTAGCCAAGCTCTGCACTCTGTGCAACTGCTCCCTTCAACTCATGGCTGAAGCAGGGCAGGAAGAGGTATAGCAGCAGTGTTCTGTGCCTGGCCAGCTATGTGATGTCCAAAGCAGCACTGGATAAAAGTGTTGATCACAGCAGCTCAATCAGTCATGACTACTATTTCATTGCCCCACAAAGGTGGTGTTCAGAACTACTGCTCCAGTTGTGTCCCTCTGCCCTCTCAATTACACTATTGGAGGTAGGTGCAGTTCTGGGGCTTCCTCCATATCTGCATCAGCTGGAGACAGTGGCATCAGTGTACACATTCCTTCTTCCCCTCCTGTTCCCAGCCAGCAGATGCAGAAGAAACCTGCTCACTGCCACTGCTGTTCTCTGCTGCACCTGGCACCCTGTGCAACTACATAGTGGAAGTAGAGCAGGGCAGTAGGACCTTCTCAGAGTAGAAAAAAAGTAATGTGATTGGATAAATGGTATATAGATGGAAAAGCACATTTTTTTAAATATTGCAACCTTTTACATGTTTAAAATTTTGTATTTTCAGGAAAGTGGCATCAAGGTATTAACTGTGAATCCCGCAACGATCATTGCCATCACCCTTTAAACCATGGGTTTGATTATTTTTATGGTATGCCTTTTAGTCTAATGAATGACTGTCACATAACAAAACCTCCAGAGAAGGACAGAGCCTTGAGATCCAAACTTTGGCTTCTTACTCAGATACTTAGCCTTGCTGTACTCACACTTGTTGTAGGAAAACTTGCTGGCTTGGTCTCAGTCAGCTGGAAAATAATGATCTGCTTTGCTTGGTTTGATCTCTTGTTCTTCATGTCCTGGTTCTCAATGTATGGATTCACAAGATTCTGGGACTGTATTATGATGAGAAACCATGAAATTACGGAACAGCCAATGGTGTTAGAAAGAACCGCATCTACTTTATTGAAAGAGGCCGTCTTCTTTATTGAAAGGTAAAATACATTCCATTTTGCACATATTTGCTTTGCAGTTTATTAATCAATTACTACATTCTAAACAAATTATTTACCAGCATAAAGCCCTCTATACGCTGTTAATAAAAAATGTAATTAGTCTAAAAGGGCTATCCAGAGGCCTCCTTTATAATTTGCTGTTTTCAGGAGTAAAATATTCATGTTTTAGACTAAAACATGTCTAGACTATCTATATGGATACATTTGATTCTGAGAAGCAGGATAAATTTTGAATGATTTTTACTCATTTGAGCTACTGATCCACCCTGGTGCCTCAACATTTTCCTCCTCTTCCTCCTCACCCCACCATCCCAGTCACTGCAACAAAGAAATAAAGTCTTGAGGTCCAGATTCTCCGTTAATGTACAATGACTTAGCCCCTTTGAGTTCAGTAAAACTATTCTGATTTACACTAGCTAAGAATGCTCTCTCCACTACCTAACATCTCCACTCAAGACTGGACAATAAAAAGGGGAGTATGTTAAAAATTCAAAATCAAGTTCAATTTTCTGGGACAAAACAAATTTGCTGGATTCTGTTACTTTACAGAATGTAAATGATTTGGGGATGAGTTGCTGGAATGTTAATGCAACTAATAGTGCAAATTCTATTAACAAAAGAGTGTGCCTTAATATGTATGACTAAAAGCTTTCTTTATAAACAAATAATAGATGTATTCTGTGTGTTTGTTGGGCTGGTTGTTTTTATTAATTTATTGTTTTGTTTTTTCTTTAAAGAAACAAGCACAGACCATTCCTCCTCTTTGTTTCCCTTTTACATGTCCACACCCCACTTATCACCACAGAGAGGTTTCTTGGGAAGAGTAGACATGGTTTATATGGAGATAATGTAGAGGAGATGGACTGGATGGTAGGTAAGTTGACTTAGCATAGATGTCTTGCTTTAAGTTAGCCAGATGATTTAGTTATGATTTAGTTATGATTTAGTTATGATGATTTAGTCAAGGATCATCCTGCCTTGAGCAGGAGGCTAGATTAGATGACCTCATGAATTCCCTTCCAGCCCTAATTTTCTACAATCCCCATAACCATTTATGATGTAAATCCAAATGTGGAACAACAAATCAGGTCCTCTTAGAGTTGAAAACTTTATAGAAAAAGCAAGGAAATGAAAACCGTCCAAAGGCAGGATACAAAGACGATAAAGGGCTTGGAACATAAATCATATGAGGAGTGGCTGCAGGAGCTAGGCATGTACAGCTTGCAGAAATGGTATTTACAAGGGGACATGATAGCAATTTTCAGATAATTGAAGGACTGCCATAAAAAAGAGGGAAAACACCTTTTCTGTCTTGCTGCAGAGAGGAGGACATGGACCAATGGCTTGAAGTTGCAGCAAAGTAAGTTTAGACTGGATATTAGGAAACACTTCTTCACAGTTAGAACAATGAGGCAGTAGAATAGAGTGCCTAGGGAAGCTGTAAATTCTCCGTCACTGGAGGTATTGAAGAAAAGATGAGACAGCCATTGGTCAGGGATGATTTAGGTGTAACTATACCTATGTTATTCTATGGGTATTTCCTATGAACTTTGCTGGTTACCCCCAGCCCTGTTTTCTGCTACATGTGTCAGGATGTTTTGAGGCCTCACTCAGAGATGCTGGGTGTTGGCTGCAGCCAAGGCTGGAGATTTTGATTGGGGTGTGTCAGTGCCCTGGCTGAGATGAAAGCCAGAGGTTCCTGGCTAGAGGATCTTGCCCCGCTGCTCAGGGTCAGACTCAGCACCATATTTGGGGTCAGGAGGGAATTTTACCCCATGGTAGTTTGGTATG